TCATCCAGCTCTACACCGTGTTATCTCAGATTCTCCAGAAATCAGATATTTTTGTCCACTTTTACCTTTTTTTGTCAGGTGACCAAATACTGGCCTGGAGCTAAAACAGGACTGACAAGTGGATACCCACTTCAGTCCATGCCCAGACAGGTCCCTTATCCTACCCAGTCCAGACCCAGGATGAAATTGTGTGGTGACAGCATGCTGATGAGCTGTTAGCGGCCCACCCCCCAACGTGTTGAAGCCACCCATCAACAGAGAGCCTCAGAAAGGGGCTTCTGCGATGCTTCCTCAAGGCAATGCCGTGTCCCTGGGGCAGTCCACTGAAGGCAGTCAGAATACTGACCCTGTGGAAGAGACTGTCTGCAAGTCCCCTAGGGACAAGCCCACTTTACTTGAGGTTCCAGTATCCCTGAGGTGAATCCTACATCCGAAGTAAGAAGACAACTGGCAGAAAACAGCCACTCACTGAAGAGACCCCTTTATAAAATAGTACCTCCTGTTTGTTGTGTCTTATCAAACTGTGTATCATGTCTATGCAGACAGTTGTTTGTACATTTATGTTCGGTTTGGAACTATGGAAATACTATTTTTTTGTTTAAGGGGAAATTTGAAAGTAAAGGGGGAAAGTTACTATGTATTACAGTTGTTTTTTTAGGTTGGAACTGTGTCCCTTTAAGCTATGAGTCACATGACACTGGTGTGTGTTCAGCCAGTGCTCACCAGTTTGTTTAGACTTGTTTAAGTTTTTACAGACCGCACAGCTTCAGAATTTAAAAGAAAATCCCTCACGAGGTTTGTATGTTCCTAGTTCTGACTCGAGCCTAGTAACTGCGCAGTACAGAGTAAGTATTACCAACATTTAAGTGTTGAACTTTTAAAAAAATATTGTTTGCTTTTTGTTTTGAACAGTTTAAAAGAGTCGGAGAAGGAATTCTGTGCCGTGTCATGACATGACACAAGTGTGAGATTGTTCATGGATGTACACCTTGTCGATGTTAAATGGCTCCAGGATGCAGTACACGCTGGTGAGTGTGACTTAAGCCAAAATCATCTGATGGGAAGTGAGAAATCCTACAAAATAAAGACCAAGTTGGAAAACCTGTGAAATGTCTTTTTTTAAAAAAAAAAATAACTATTTGAATGAAATATTATCTTTTATTTGAAATATCCTTCCTGTTAATTAATGTTTGAATTGTATCGATTTTAATTAGTGTTGGCAGTCAGTGTTTTAAAAAGTGAAATCTTGCCCATCAGGTATATTTCCCTAGGCTTTTTGAATATTCCTTTCTTTTAAAAAGTTATAAATCTCAATAGGGATCATAATAGTATTCTGTTGAAGTATTTTTAAACTGTTATTAAACATGTCACTCCTTCACAATTCCTGACCTCGGTTTTAAATTTTTAAGTGCATCATATACATTATTGACATTTAGGGAATATTAATCACTTAATGACAATTCTAGCTGCAGTGCAATGAGTGGAAATCTGAGCTGGAGTGCATGTATACTTTCATGGACAAGAATTGAGATTAAATCATAAAAGTAATTTGTATTTGGGTAACACCTTTTGGGACCAGAGCAATTAACTGCTTTTGAAGTGTAATCATTGTTATAATGTGAGGAGAAGTAAAACCCAAGCAAGTTGGGTCCGCAAAAAGACTTGTGAAATCACTAGATAACAGGATAGAAATTGGGTTGTATTGTATCCTTAAATTGGATGCTGCAAAGCTCAACTTTAGTGACTAGTATGAGGTAGTTTGCGCAAAACTTACTTCACATTGAACGTGCTACCCTTTGGAGGTGCAACAGGCTCCATTAATTGTAGTTGCCTTTCAAACATACTCTTTGTGCACGTCCCCAGATAGCAATCAAGCAGGCATTTCCTCTCCAATATTGCAAGGACACTACAATGGTTTGTGGAGCCTTTACCTCTGGTTCCCACTGTGTTCCATTAACACGGCTTTCACCAATGAATGAATCAAGGATCAGACCATTTGGTAAGATACAGTAGCTAACAAAATAAATTCACTGAGCCCCAGGAGGAGCACTTGTATTTATCTTAATCCCTAAATATTTGATACACCTTTTAGCTATTTGAAAGAATTACCCTAATAAGGACTGAGGGAAAACATCATTTTCTTACCCAAGAGCTTTAGTCTTTTTCCAATTAATTTTACAATCTGCCAACAGCCTGAAGTTAATCATTATCACTGAGTGATAGCGATTTTAAACTGTAATTGATTGCAAATGGAGAAGACAGTACCATGTAGATTACGTTGCCAACATTTGATAATATGTACTACCTTGGTTCCACAGACTAATACTAATCGTTGTTTCAAAAATAACTCTGAAAAACAGAGGCAATCAATGCAAATGACCCTGTCCTACTTCGTGAAAAAAAAACTTTGACAGAATCCCACTAACCATGAACCTTTCTGGAAGGGTAATCAGTTACGTGACTGCACACAATTTGAATGCATTTTTAAAAAGACCCCTGATCGAATATATCCGTAATCATCTGAAGGTAGTTTCTACTCTACCATTTTAAAGTGTTCTCTGTAGGCCAAATGACAAGACATTATAGAGGTGTACATAATTATTGTATGTACTCTGCAAACATTAAATGGTAAATCTCACTTAATCTTAATTCACAGTTATCCAGTTGAACTCTTAGTCTGTGAAACAAGATCTTCTCCAAGATTTCCAAGCCTATTTGTTCATATGGATGCATTTGTGACGTCTGAGACAGTTTGCTTCTTTAATAAAATTATATTTATCATTCTTTTCTAGAATGAATCAAAGATGAAATCCCCTGTTTCATAGAATCCTTATAGTATGGAAGCAGGCCATTCAGCCCATTGAGACCACTGACCCTCTGAAGGGCATCCCACCCAGACCTACTCCCCTACTCTATCCCTGTAACCCTGCATTTCCCATGGCTAATCCACCTAGCCTGGACACAATGAGCAATTTAGCATGGCTAATCTACCTAACCTGCACATCTTTGGACAGTGGGGGGGAAACCCCCACAGACATGGGGAGAATGTGTGGAATTTGCACAGACAGTTGCCCAAAGGTAGAGTTGAACCTGGGTCCCTGGCACTGTGAGGCAGCAGTGCTAACCACTGAGCCACCATGTTGCCCCCAACCCATACCTGCCGCAACTCTGTCTGTAATTCTATGGATTTTGTGAAGGGAGATAAATCTTTATCTATGACATTGGGAGTTCCCAAGCATCTGTGACTCCGGTTCAAAGTGGAACAAACCACGTGCCTGATCAAAGGCCACCAACTGTCAGAAGTGGACCAGGAGACCAAGTCAAGACTGTAACCTGGACACCCTGGTCCATTCTCTCAAACATTTAGCAAATGTTTTCAGCATGCAGGTTTGGGAATCTGTAGATTCTAGGATTGACATTTCCATGTTCTTCTTAGGGAAGAGCTGCAGGGTTGGTAGTGGTGTTCCCAGAAAAGCAAATCCTTGGATTCAGACATGGCTATTCTGCAAATAACCATAGTCTAGAGAAAGAATGGAAGTTACTGGTAACCCCTTAACATGAATCACTGGGCTTCTTCCTTTCATTATATACTTTTTTTTTAAACTCCTGACTTATTCATCAGGAAGGAAAGAAAGGAGAACAGAAATAAAAAGAAATATTTGCTTTTATCCAACACTACAACACCTTTCATGACCTCAGGATGTCCCGATGCATTTTACAACTACTGAAGTACATTTTGAAGTCCAGTCACTGTTTGCGAGAAATATAGCAACTTTTTTTTTTACACAGAAAAGAACCACATAGCAATTTGATAATTATCAGATAATCTGTTTCTATTTATTGGTATGGGAATGTATATTTTATCTGCATCTTTGAAATAATACCATTAAATCTTTTATGAATATCTAGAAGGGCAGACGGAATTTTAATTTAATATTCTAACTGAAAGGTGATCCATCCAGTCATGTATTGAAGGTATAAAACACACTGTATTGTAGGTATCCCTGCCTGGTCAATGTGATCTGTTTCATTAATGAATGTGCAAACTAAACGGATGAAATTATGATTTGCACATTTTTGTGTTTGAATGAAGATCGTGTTGGACCTCAACATATGAGTGGAGATTGCAAAAAGTGACAGGAGTGTTGTATCATGAGATGTAGATGGTACTCAAATAATTTTGGAATCTGAGTTCTTGAAGCACAACATACTGTGACCTTGACCTTAAATAACTTTATCCACCACTTCCTCTATTCACTAGTACTATAAATGTTAATCAGTGGTGTGCCTTGAAACATTTACCTCAGTCAGTCTATTCAGGCATGAAGGAATTTTCTAGCTGGCTACTTTAACAACTGCTTGTGTCTTAAGCACCCGCTGTACTTATCAGCAATTCAGTGCGAACAATTAATATTAAATGGTGCTGGTGAGCTAAGTCCTTCCCCCCTGTGCAGTCAGCTGTTACACTAACCAGCTGGAAACTCCCTTCAGTATGCAATGGACTCCAAGTCTAGAACATAGATATCGTAAAACACGCACCTGATTTAAAATTAAATGTTCTTGTGGAGGGAAGAATTACCATAGCTACACCAGTTGTGGCTGAGCTGGCAATTGGCGCTGTGCTAAAGTAAAGGCCAGGCCAGAAGATACAAAGATGAACTGATGCAGTAGGCTGCAACCAAAAGGAAGCACACAGGTGGCAATGGAATAGGGCAGAACTAGATTTGAGAATGTAGCAGGGTAGTGGTGTGCGAGCAATCTCGGCTGTGCAGCTGGCAGTAATGGTGATGAGACAGAGGCAGAACACAGCAGAGTCACACAATGGGCTTCAGAAATCTGGAGAGGGGGAGGCAGCAGGTCTGGTGAGTTGAGTCTGAAACCCTTACATCCTGAGAAAGTTAAGATAACTGTTGGAGTGGGGTGTCATTACAACTTGTGGGCAGTTAGGAAAGGAACAGAATAAACCTTTTTTTGTTAATTCTTTTATTTTGTATCATGGTGATGGCTGTGGTTATGTGTGGTCAGTTAAACCCACCGTCTTCAACATCCTTCCATTTACAGAAGATAAATCCATTGGCAGCTTCATGTTTGCTGCAGAATCAAACCAATTTCTCCAAATTTGGCTGCTTCTTGCTACCTGCCAGTTGAATTTAAAAGAGAAAGTAGTTTCATTGCAGATTTGTGTTGTTCATTCATTCCTCATTGGTGAGCAATTATTAACTCAAGCTACTTTTAATTGTTTTCAATTTAGCCAAACAAATGTATGTATCAGCCAATGGATGACTTTTTTGTCCTGAAAACTTAGGACACTGAGATGTGACTTTGCTGAAGTGTTAAACTTGAAAGCTATCATGAAATCAGCTACCGTACACCTGAATAAGTTGATTAAAAATATCTACAATCACAGAATATGGGCAGAAATTAATACCCTCTATGGTGGCAGATTTGGTTGGCCGTTGAGCACCTAGCTATCTTTCCACTTCACCCTGATTTAGTCTCAATGGGAAGGTCCATGGATTGTCCCCACATCCAATTGAGAGCCTTAAACGCGCAATTAACGTCCACTTAAAAGCCTAATTCTGCTGCGGTGGGCAGGTGAGAGGCTCATTACGCAAGGAGCAGGATGAACTGACTCCCTCTCCCCTCCAATCCCTACTCCACAATCCTCCTGCCATTATACCTGTTATTATCCAAAAAAACTCCCAGCAATATGATTCCTCAGCTGGGGTACGTGCTGTTGCCAGCTGCAGACTCTCACATGGCGTTGCTGATGAATAGAAGTGCCAGTCCCTGATTAGTCAGCAGCATTTTGAGGGTGGAATTTAGAACCCGCCCCCCCCCCCCCCCCGCCTTAAAATAAAAATGTATTTGCCATCGGGCAACATTTCCCAGATTGGCATCATCCGTCTGAGCCAGTTAAAGACCTGTTCAATTTAAAGGTTATGTATCAAATGCACAAGCGGAGACCGATGACAGTGGGATGGGCTAGATTTAACATGTAGTTTTCACATAATCCCTACAGTGCAGGAAGAGGCCATTCAGCCCATCGCGTCGGCACTGATCCTCCAAAGACCTTCCCACCCAGATCCAGCCCACCACCTTATCCCTGCATTTGCTATGGCTGACCCACCTAGCCTGTACACTATGGATAAATTAACATAGCGTTGCCAATCCACCTAACCTACATGTGTTTGGACTGTGGGAGGAAGCCGGAGCACCCAGAGGAAGTCCATGCAGACAAGGGGAGAAGGTGCAAATTTCACACAAACAGTTGACCAAGGCTGGAATCAAACCCAGGTCCCTGCGCTGTAAGGCAGCAGTGCTAACCACTAAGCTGCCGTGCCACCTTTTTATTTGTGAATGGTGAATTTTGTTATCGACCATACATATTAGAACCTGAAACTGGAAATGCAAATGGTTTTTCTGTCCTTTTGTATAAGCAGAGGGATGTTAGGAGATAGTAGGAACTGCAGATGCTGGAGAATCCGAGACAACAAGGTGTAGAGCTGGATGAACACAGCAGGCCAAGCAGCATCAGAGGAGCAGGAAAGCTGATGTTTGGGGTCTAGACCCTTCAGAAATTTTCTGCTTGGCCTGCTGTGTTCATCCAGCTCTACACCTTGTTATCTCAGATTCTCCAGCATCGGCAGTTCCTACTATCTCTATTGGCTAAGTCCTGATTTATAGATCTTGATTCAAAGGAATTCTCTTGATACCATTTTCGTTCATTCATCTGTAAACAGTAAGGATACCATCATAAGGCAGCTCCATACCTCCAAATCTGTTGACACAAGACATAACCTTACTTTCTTCCCTTAAAGTATTTTGCTCAACTGACAAGAGGAGGAAATCTGCACATTCAGGAAGGAAAGAAATTCAAATTAATTCGAGGATCAACCGAATTTTGGAATACAGAATTTGATCAGCTCTTCAGACACCTCAGCCAAATGAATGTTTCTATCAAGGTCAGCACTTTGCTAATGATTCTCCTTCTTCCAAGCAGAAATGAACAAAATATGACCTCATAAATTGTTTTTACATACCATCATAATAAAATGGGAGAGATATTAGGAGGGAAATTATTATTCATAAATTCCTGTTCTCTAAAAAGAGGAATTTATCATCCTATTCCAAAGCTGTGTTAAAACAGCTTCAGCTATAAACCTTCTTTTATGAAGAGAGTTACTAAAGAAATGGCCATTGGAGCATCATCCAGAATTAATATTTGACCAATTTGGATATCGTCTATATTTTGAGTCAAAGATTGGAAAGTAAAAATATGCCTCACTGAGGAAGAAAATTCTTCATATGGAATGATTAGATATTTATCGGATCAATCTCTTCATTAACTTATGTATTCAATTTAAATGACTTGTAATATCAAGAATGTCAGTGAGCAATACAGCCAGAATGGGATCCAAAATTTCATGAAATCCATTGATTAGTAAACAATTAGACTTCAGCTAAGACAAAAAAATTGCTTGTTAAAGACTGAATTAGAATTGAGGAATCCATATTGTTTATTTTATACATGATTGATGATAGACGCCCATAGCTGGTAGACAAGTAGGTTGCTTTTAAATCTTTGGGATTGTGTTATGATCCTAGCTGATGTTATAACTCGACATTATAAGTTGGCTCCTAGACATGATAGGTCATATTTTGTTCTATTTTTGTTTTAACAAGGTTGTCTGTCACTGAAACACAAACATGAAATGCTGCATTTTTTTTGTTTTAATCGTAAAAAGAAGATTATTAGCATAAGAAATGAAGATAAAATAGATTAAACCAAATTATCCAATACAAATTCAAAGGATCTTTAAGCACACGGTAAAAAAAAATCTTGTTAATTTCATTCATTTATCACAGAATCACAGAGTTATTATCATGTAGAAGGTGGCCATTCATTCTATTGTGACCACTCTGGTTCTATTACCTAGAGCCAACCTCTTCCCCATATCGCTGTACATTATTACTATCTCAATAGAATTCAGTGTGCACTTGTATAACTCAATCGAATCTGCATCCACCACCATTTCAAGCAGTGCATTCCACACCCTGATTATGTGCTGCATTGTAAAGGTTTCTTTTCATGTCACCTCTGCTTTGTTTGCACATCACTTCAATTCTGTGCTCCCTTGTTCATGTTTAATTTTTATAAGCAGAAGCAGCTTTACCCTGTCCAGCCTCCTCATAATTTTGAAAACTTCAGTCAGATCTCTTCAGCCTTCTTCGCGCCAGAGAGAACAGTCCCAACTTCTTTCATCTATCCTCATAACTGAAGTTTCTCATACCCGGAACTATTCTAGTAAATTTAAAAAGTAACATGGGTTTTGTCCACAACACAATGTGGAGCTGGAGGAACGCAGCAGGCCAGGCAGCATCAGAGAAGCAGGAAAGTTGACATTTCCGGTTGGGACCTCTCTTCAGAAGAAAAGGCATTTTTTTCGCTCAGCACTCATCCATCTAAATTTCATTCCCTCTAGACTCCAGCTCCCACAAATATCCTCAGATTGTGTCCTCCCAGGTTTAGTGGTTCAACTCCCTTTGCTCAATGTTTAATCAGACCCCTCTCCGAGAGCTAGTGGTTGGACCCCTCTTCTCTGTTCCAGTCCCAGGTATCACAAGTACTTACTGCTGCAGTCTATAGTTCAGGCCTGCAAAGCATTCTTCCTGACTGGCAAGAAGCCAGTATCCCTTATGACAGTCATTGGCTATTTCTTCCCCATACCTTTCAGTACACTCCCAACAATTCCTCATTAACCAGGAGTGGGAGAGCACTACATTGAACTTAAGTTCAGCCACCAAAACAATTCCTTGGTCACTGCTTTACAAAGTGGCATCCAGGGTGTTCAGGATATTGTTGTGGACCAACATCACCTCAGTAGCTTACTCGAATGACTCCGTGGTGTTAACCAGTTTTTACAATGGAGGTGGTTTTCAGTGCATATGCCTAAGACATCATGGCATGCAATAGGCTAGAGATGGTGTCTTTCATTCCCTGGTACATTCTACCTTGGGAAATTCTGACAGATGCACACATGGTTATTTTTCTTTACAGCTGCAGAAGTGCCTGCTTTCATGGAAAGCTCAACATCGTTATCCACCTGCGCAGGATTTGGAGTGTCCTGAACTCTTTAGGGTCTCCCCGTGGATGGCCTGATCTCCTGTCCCTGCTCACTTATGATGAAATCCTCAATAGTGTCACATTATCAAACTGAGAATCTGGTGTTTGTCTCTGTGCTGGAAACACATCATGCATGTAGCAGGGCCTCCTCCCTCATCTCCTGTATCAGCCCTGATAATGTACATGTGAAAAACAAAAGACATGGGTTAATGCTGATCAGAGCTGGGAAAGTTTCCAGCATAGCAGCGTGCAGATCATTGCACTCATTATATTGGTGACATTGAGTCAACATATGTGACAGTTAAGTATAAAGGGAAGTGTGCTTTTAAATGCTGACCACTGGTTTCTGGCCCTCCCCCATCTCTAAATTGGCACCCTGCCAATCTCAAGGGCTTTCTCCATGGTTGTGAGGATGGTGCTACAAAAATGTTATCTCAAGTATTAATTCATAATGTCATCCTCTGATTTTATTTGTATGTGACCGGGCATCCGTGTGTGTTCTTGTCTAACTGACAGTAGCTAAAATTTTGCAATTGTGACAAACAAACAACTGATTTTCAGAAGTTGCAGAGTCTGTAGAACTCAGGGAGAGAGTTGTCACATGGCCCAACCACTTGGCTGTAGAAAGAACTGCTAGTGTTTGGACTGTGTGTGTGTGTGTGTGTGTGTGTGTGTGTGTGTGTGAGAGAGAGAGAGTGTGTGAGTGAGTGATAGAGAGAGAGAGACTTCCACAATGCAGAAAAGATATAGCCTTATCTGTCTCTCTCTGCCCACCAGAACTCTTTGTTACTACTACAACCTGAAAGTTTGTAATGGAGAATTCTGAATCAAAACCCCTGTTTCTAAGGGAAAGAGAGAGTCTCCCTAGCCCCAAACAGTGGAATGAATCTTCCTCTAAGAGACTCCACTGCCAACAAACTTGCATGAATAACATTCTTTCTTGGCCAATTTTTAAATCTGGTACTATGCTGAGCTTAATTGTGTTTGTTTTAATGGCACAGATAGTGCGTATTATTATTCTTGCATTGGGCATGGTGGCATTTGTACATTTTAAACCATTTGTAAATAACTTCTACATCTATGCTTGCCTGAGTTGTAGGAATAAAAGTAACTCTTTACTTGTTAACCTGAAGAATCTGGTTTATTCCTCACAGCAAGTTGTATACAGTGAAGTTTTATTTATTAAATTGGCATTATCACCTCCCTTTTAAATTCAAGCTCTGTTATAACCAAATCAGGAGTGAGGTATTGAGAGGGATCAATTCACCGCTCCTCACTTATAACAATGGCTGTAACGGCAGATCCGCCCCCAATTCTGTTCATTTCCCTATGATTGTGAGACCCTTATTCCGACAGTGAGAAACAGCAAAGAGCTAAGAGCATGAGAAATTCACTGCTGATGATAGATGATCATTTGAGAAGTAATACCATGGGAATGGGAGACAAGGAGCTGTAGGATAAGGTGCATGTCATCTGTTGAGACGAAATTTGAGAGGCCTGATGAGTATCACGTGTAAGACAAGCTGTGTTAGTCAGAGGAATATAATCAGTAGGAGAATGGCCCAGAATCTTTTGCCATGTGGAGTCTTAGATGACACTTAAGTTAGACTTCTGTATAGGAGGGATATGGTTAGGGCCTGAGGTCTTTTCAAAATAACCTTTTTGTTACATTACACCATTTATGTGCATTCTGGCTAAGCATGAGGTATGGTTATTGCCCTCATTTCTGACTCCCTCCATCAATATGTAATCATTACGTCATCATTGAGAGAGCTTCCTATGTAGATCTCAGAAGCTAACCCTTTACGGAGAGGTGATGGCTGCCAGTTATACCAGGTCTGGATTAGTTCCAATAATTCATGGCCACGGATGTAGTGACATCCCGTGTGGTAGGGGAAATCCTCCTGTAGGATAGCCAGTCTGGGCACTTGTCTTGGCCCTTGTTGGTGGGCACATTTCCTGCCAGGACAATGTGGGTGGCCATGAGAATTAGCCCACGAGATAGTAGGAACTGCAGATGCTGGAGAATCTGAGATAACAAGGTGTAGAGCTGGATGAACACAGCAGGCCAAGCAGCATCAGAGGAGCAGGAAGGCTGACATTTTGGGCCCAGACGCTTCTCCAGAAATGGGTGAGGCGAAGGGGGTTCTGAAATAAATTAGGGAGAGAGGGGGAGGCGGATAGAAGATGGATAGAGGAGAAGATAGGTGGACAGGAAACAGACAGGTCAAAGAGGCGGGGATGGAGCCAGTAAATGTGAGTGTAGGTGGAGAATTAGGTAGGGGATAGGTCAGTCCAGGGAGGACGGACAGGTCCAGGGGACGGGATGAGGCAAGTAGGTAGGAGATGGGGGTGCGGCTTGACGTGGGAGGAGGGGATAGGTGGGAGGAACGACAGGTTAGGGAGGCAGGGACGAGCTGGGCTGGTTTTGGGATGCAGTAGGGGGAGGGGAGATTTTGAAGCTCGTGAAGTCCACATTGATACAGTCAGTCCTCAGTAAAGGTCTCACCTTTGTCCGCCTCCACCCACGCATTAACGAATGCCGCTCATGCTTGGACGTTGAATAGTTTTTCCGCCGCCTCCGCCTCCACACTTACTTCTTTAACCGTGAGCCTAACCCTCCCCCTACTGACCCCTTTTCCTGCCTCCAACACACCCCCTCCTCCTGGACACCACCCCAAGGCCTCCTACCCTCCCTCGACTTCTTCATCTCCAACTGCCGTCGTGACATCAATCGCCTCAACCTCTCCACCCCTCTCACCCACTCCAACCTCTCCCCCACGGAACGTGCAGCCCTCCGCTCCAATCCCAACCTCACAATAAAACCCGCGG